CCTAGCATGCCTGTCCGTGTCCTACGAAGGGAGACGGCACAAGGAGAGGAGAGGAGAGGAGAGCAGAGGAGAGTCAGTGAGAAAGTTGGCCAACACATTAGAGAAGAGAGAGAGACAGACAGATAGAAAGACATGGGAGGAAGGCAAGCAACTCACCACCTGGAGTCATCCTCCTAGATGCAACCTTCCGCTGCGTAGCAGACACCACTCCTGACCAGAGAAATGAGCAGACCCTGAAAATGAGGACCTTGCTCCCCTCATAACCACAGCTAGTCAAGAACATTTTCTTACAAACCCAGCCCCAGCTCATGTGGCATCCCTAGCAGGAGCAAGGTGGGCTGTTAACACAGCAATCACCAAACCAGACACTTATCTCACTGAGAGTGGCGGCCGTTCCCCTCCCAGTAGGACGGCTTTTGCGTGGCATCAACAATGCTCACGGTTTCGTTGCTCTGGCTCGCTTTCCATCACATGAGGGCTTGAGACTCTGAGGCGTGACTTCTTTTCCCTCGGTCCTAAACCCAGCACAAGGCGAAAAAACAAATCCGTTACCATCTCAGTTGGCAAGATCTTGTCCCTTCCCCAGCCTTAATCCCAGAGCCTCGTAACTAACGAGGAAGCAAATGGCCTGTGAAGAAAACTACAGTGAGTACAGATGAGGAATTCACAGCACTGACCTCTTACTCACAACCAGCGATGCAGAAGGCAGAAACATGAGGCCTATTCATGTCTCCTTAGAAGGATGTCCAGACTGCTCAGGTCCACTTCTGCCATATTCCTGTCCAGCTAGGGTCCTGGACAATTCCTCTGCAAACTAATAAAACCAAGCAATAACTATCACTACACAGAGCTCTATTGGTGCGTTGAATCTTGCCCTCATCCCTGCCTCTGTCTCCCATTCCATCTACATCAGCCCCACTCGATGAACAGAGACCGAGTAACCACAGACAGTCACATCTCCACTTTAGCGCCCACTGCCCCGCATGGATTTCGTCTGCTCCTACTTCTCCGTGGCTCCCAAGACCTGGCTAGGATGCACACCTAGAACGGATGCCCGTGGGAGACGGCATGAGGAGAGGAGAGGAAAGAGACTGAGAAAGTTGGCCAACACACTAGAGGAGAGAGAGAGACAGAGAGAAAAAAAATGGGAGGAACGCAAGCAACTCACCACCTGAGTCATCCTCCTGGATGCAATCTTCCGCTGCCGAGGACGCACCACATCTGGGCAGAGAAATGAGCAGCCCCTGAAAATGGGGACCTTGTCTCTCTCGTAACCACAGCTGGTTAGGAACCATTTCTTACAAACCCAGCCCCAGCTAACGGGGCATCCCTACTTGGAGCCAGTGGGGCCCTACGCAGAGCCCTCACCAAACCACACACTTATCTCACTGACAGTAGCAACTGCTCCACTGCCAAGTAGACGGCTCCAAACTTGCATCAACAATGCTTGCAGGCTCACTGCTCTCGCTCGCTTTCCATCCGACGAGGGGAGTAAACTTTGACGTTTGATTTAGTTTCCCTTGGCACTAAACCCGGCACAAGGAGAAAAAACAAATAAGTTACCACCTCAGCGGGCAGCGTCGCGTAGGCTATTCTTTTCGCCTCTCCCCCACAGCAGCGCTGCGCACCAAACCCTCCCCCGCATAATACCCTTAGCACTAGAACTAAAAAGCACACCTTGCAACGGCATCGGAAATAATCACTCTGCACAGCAGACTCTGGCCCCTCCCCAGCTGTAAACGCACAGAACCCCGTACCCAAGAAGAAAGCACACGGCCTGCAAAGACTACAACAGCGAGGTCAGATGGGCAATTCAAAGCACCGACCGCTTACTCACAGCCAATTATGCGGGAGTCAGAAAGCTGAGGACTTTTCATGTCTGCTAACAAGGATGTCCAGTCTGCTCATGTCCACTTCTGCCACTTTCTCCTCAGGATAGGGCTCTTGGAAAATTCCTCTGGAAGCGCATCTGCAAAAGCCAAGCATGAGCCATCACTACTTAAAGCTCTATTTGTTGCTTCAAATCTTGCCCTCATCCTGGCCTTCCTCTCCAACCCCATCTACATCAGCCCCACTCGATGAACAGAGACCGAGATGACACCGACAGTCACAGCCCTGGATGATTTTCGTCCCCTCCTACTTCTCCATGGCTCCCAAGACACAGCCTGTGGGGATGCACACATTACACAGCGGCCCGTGTCTTACGAAGGGAGACAACATGAGGAAAGGCAAGGACAGAGAGAGAGATAGAGGGTGTGTGTTGGCCAATGTACTAGAGAAGACAGACAGAGAGAGAAAAACACGGGAAGAAAGCAAGCAACTGACCACCTGGAGTCATCCTCCTGAATCCAACCTTCCCCTACGGAGGACACACCGTTCCTGGCCAGAGAAATGAGCAACCACTGAAAATAGGGAACTTTTCTCCCTCGTAACCACAGCTAGTCAGGAACCTTTTCATACAAACCCAGCCCTAACGTACTGGGCTTCCCTACCTGGACTCAGGTTGGGCGTGAGCAGAGCCCTCATGAAACCAGACACTTATCTCACTGACAGCGGCGTCTCCTCGGCTCCCAGATAGATGGCTTTTGTGTGACATCAACAATGCTCAGAGTCTCGACTCTCTGGCTCGCTTTCCATCCCATGAGGGCAGTAGACTGACGTGTGACTTTGTTTTCCTTGGTACTAAATCCAGGTTGGGGGGGATTAGCATCTCCGTCTGCAATGTCGCGTACTCTCTTCATTTCACATCTCCCATATCCCACGGCTCCACCCTCAACCCATCTCCCATTACTAAGTTACAACTGCATCTAGAAGGCACCCATTGTAACGGCACCCAAAATACTCACTTTCCTTAGGAGACTCGTCCCTTTCCCAGCCTTAATCCCAGAGCCTCGTACCCAACGAGGAAGCACACGGCCTATGAAGAATACTACAGCGAGCACAGATTGGAGAAGGAGGCCAGGATGGGGGGGAAGATTTGAAGCACCAATACAGCTTTGTGTAGTGATGGCTCATGCTTGGCTTTTGCAGCTGCACTTCCAGAGGAATTTTCCAGGAGCCCTAGACCGAGGAGCAAGTGGCAGAAGTGGACATGAGCACACTGGACATCCTTGTAAGCAGACATGAACAGTCCTCAGCTTTCTGACTCCCACATAACTGGCTGTAAGTAGGCGGTCAATAGTCTGAATTCCTCAGCTGTGCTCGCTGTATTATTCTTCACGGGCCGTGTGCTTCCTCGTTGGGTACGGGACTCTGCGAGATTACGGATGGGGAGTGGCCAGAGTCTGCTGTGCAGAGTGACTATGTCAGGTGCCATTGCAAAGGGTGCTTTTTGGTTGCAATGCTAAAGCTGTAAAGGGAAGAGGGTTGAGGGCGGAGCCCCGTCGTGGGGGAGAGACAAAAAGAAGGGCCTACGAGGCGTTGCCTACTGAGATGGTAACTTGCTTGGGTTTTTTTCCCCTTGCGCTTGGTTTAGTACCACAAAAAAGAAGTCGCGCGTCAGAGTCTACTGCCCTCACGTGATGTAAAGTGAGGGACAGCAGCGAGCCTGTAACCCCTGTGGATGCCAGGAAAGAGCAGTCTATCTGGGATCCGAGCAGACGCCACTCTCCGTGAGATAAGTGTCTGGTTTGGTGATTGCTATGCTCGCGGTCCACCTTGCTTTTGCTAGGGACGCCCTGTTAGCTGGGGCTGGGTTTGTAAGAAATGGTTCCTGACCAGCTCTGCTTACTAGAGAGACAAGGTCCCCATTTTCAGGGGCTGCTCATTTCTCTGGCCAGGAGCGGTGTGTCCTCCGCCACAGAAGCTTGCATCTAGGAGGATGACTCCAGGTGGTGAGTTGCTTGCCTTCCTCCCATCTTTCTCTTTCTCTCTCTCTCTTTTCTCTTGGCCAACACACAGCCTCTCCCTCTCTCTCTCTGTCCTTGCCTTTCCTTCTGCTATCTCACTTCTTAAGACAGTGGTAGGCATGCTAGGTGTGCATCCCCACAAGCCAGGTCTTGGGAGTCGCAGACGAAAAGCATGCGGGGCAGTGGGTGCGAGAGTGGAGCGGTGACGGTCGGTGTTATCTCAGTCTCTGTTCATTGAGCGGGGCACAGTGAGAAAGTTGGCCAACACACTAGAGGAGAGAGAGAGAGAGAGAAAGGAAAAAATAGTGGGAAGGAAG